ACCCCTTTCCTAAGAGGTCTGTAGGGGGCGTGCATAAGCGCACCAACATGCCTACTGTCCCTATCCTATTGATTCTTTTTATTTTTCTTATATGTATCCATTTCATGTATTCATAACTTTGTTTATACTTATACCTATTATCTTGTAAGCGATTGACAAATCAAATAAATAATAAAATAAAATAAAATAATGCTTACGGCATTTCAGGACCATGTGATCAGGGGTGGGCTGCTATGGGTTCGCCCGGGTTCGAGCGGACCCATAACTAATGTTATGGCTGATTTAGCGAACTGCCAAATCCCTCCCCTGGCTGGCCCCGCCCCGTCCCACCCCACCTACCCCTCCCCTCCCAGGAGTTTCCACGCAGCCTGTTTTGGATGCGAGATAAGTGCATGGCCCACATAGAGGCTTGGGGAGGGGGAAAAATGGGCCTCCTGGAAGCTCCAAAAGGCCAGAAATGGGCCTCTTTCCAGCCTCCGAAGGGCCTCCGGAACCTGGGGGAGGCAATTTTCGCCGTCCCAGAGGCTTGAGAAAAACCTCTGGAACCTGGGGAAGGTGAAAACACCCCCACCCCACTGTAGTGCAGGAGGCCAACTAGGCCATGCTCGCCATGGCCACGCCCATCCAACAACTGGGCAGAGAAACCGTTGCTGAAATTTTTGAAGCCCACCCCTGCATGTGATCACCATCTGCAAACTTCTCAGGTGGCTTCTGACAAGCAAAGTTAATGTGGGGAGGCCAAATTTGCTTAACAGTGTAATTCACTTAACTGTGATTCACTTAGTGACCATGGCAAAAATAAAAGTGGGTGGACAACTGTCTTGATTAGCAAATTTTAATCCCAATTTTGGTCATAAGTCGAAGACTACCTGTATTTAGTTCATAAGGTGTCCCTGAGTTTATAGAGCCCTTAAAATGAAAGATGGGAAAATTTCCTTTAGCAAAAGTTTGGACAGTATATAGCCCACAAACACTATTTCTGCAACCATGCAAAAACTCTTCCATGCAGTTTGTAATAGTACTGGGCAAAATGAAAGTCTTAAAATTTTGGAGAAGTTATTTCACTTATTTATTTATATTTTGCACTTAACCACCCATCTCCCTCTTTAATAATGTTTGAACCATGCCAACAGTTGTGTTGTTGTTGTTGTTGTTGTTGTTATGAGAAAAATAAGCATCAAGGTTGACTCAGCTTCTATCCTTCCTAGATGGGTAAAATGAGGACCCAGATTGTTAGGGGCAACATGCTGACTCTGTAGACCACTTAGAGAGGGCTGTAAAGCACTATAAAGCAGTACATACCGATAAGTCTATTGCTATTGCTATCTTAAGCTAGAGACATGTAACCTCTTAAAACACTCCCAAAATAAGTCAATAATTTGAACCTCTCCGTTGTATTGATGCCAGGATGTCACTGGCCACGTCCCTTGCAGGCCACAGAGATCAAATACCTTTTAAAATGCAGTACTAGCTAGTAAAAGATTGCTTATTGCTGCTTCAGAAGAAGCTACCACAAGATTCCCAGAACTCACTTTCCTGTTCTTTGGAGTTCTGGTCCCGTGTGATCTTCCATCTCATCATCAGAAATCTTTCCATTATATAACTTTGCCATCTTCCTCTTATCCTAATAAAAAGGAAGTACGACAAATTAACATCATTCTGCTGGCTTTTGAATCAGTTCAAGGCAGAGTGGCCTTTAAAAACAACAACCCAACAATATCAAATTGGAGGCTAAACCTAATCTTATAGTTGCAACACTACTGTATATCAAAAACCATATAAAGGTCATACAGGTAGTCCTCGATTTACAATCATTCATTTATTGACCATTCAAAGCATTGAAAAAAGTGACTTACACTTACGACTGTTGCAGCATCCCCATGGTCACATGATCAAAATCTGGACACTTGTCAACTGATTTTATAATGGTTGCAGTGTCCCAGGATCATGTGATTCTTTTGTGACATAAAATGACTAGTTAAAGGTTGTAACATGACTAACTAGTTTAATGTCATAACATGGGGCAAAACTCATTTAACAATGTCTTACTTAGCAATAGAAATTTGGAACTCAGTTATAGTCATAGGTCGAGGACTACCTGCAATTTCATTTGCACACATTCATTTGCCTTAGTGTTGATGTAGCTTCCAGTAAGTAAGCAGCATCATTTTTCTTTCTTTGCAATTACAACAGGCCAAAAAGCTGAGACAGCTGTCTAGGGAACCTTAGGTATTAGCCCATAAATGATAAATATATATTGTTCTATGATTCCACCCGTCTAATTTATAGACAGTATCCCCCATATTAGACTTGATATTTTAAAAATATCACCATTTTGTTTTATTGAGTTAGAGAAGGAAGTCACAGTTTACCTGAGAAGGAACGCTTTTAGGTGGCTCAATTCTGATCGATGGATCCCATTCCCCAGGTGGCAGCACTGTCACCTGATCTAGAAACTCATCAATGCCAGCTAAAAGGTCACTTCGATCCTTGGCTTTGTAAGCAACATCATGGAAAACCTATATAGACAGGAGAGAAACATTTACTTACACGTAATAAGCTAGATCAATTCTAATTTCTCCATATATTCACTCAAACAGAATCTTTGTCTGGATGACTATTCTGGTTAAACAAGCAAAACTTTAAAATCATCCACTTTGAATGTGGAACAATATATAGATACATAGTATTTTGGCAGGTAGTGAACTAGCATCCTTGCATAAGTTCCCATCAGAATCAAACACTTTTTCACTTAGCTGAGTGTACCAGTGACCCTAACCACAGCTGCCTAACCGTGGCTCATTAAAAAAAAGAACAAAGCTGGCTGTGATTATATAATATATGAATGGAAAGTAACACATGACGGGTTACTACAGTTTACAATAAACCAAGTCATATAAATATTAAAAGGAGAGTATGCATCATGAAAACCAATTCTACCATGTGTATACTAATGCTTTATTTGGAGTGTGTGGGGTCATTATTTCTGACTTTTATAACTCTTTTTATGACTCTGTTGATGTTCTTTTATGTATAGGTCATCCAAAGCAATGTAAACAGCTTAGGCCCACAGTGCTTCTCAACTTTGACAACTTTAAGAAACCTGGACTTCAACTCCCAGAATCCCCCAGGCAGCCATGCAAAGGTTAAGAAACACTGTTATACAGGGTGAAATTATGCATACTTCACTTACCTCATCAGTCATGAGGGTAGCCATTGACCGTCCAATCTCATGATATTGCTGTCCTTTCCCTACTGGACCCAGCAAGACAAACAAGAACCTAGTCATTAAAAGAGAGATTGAAAAAGAAATGATTGCAATGTAAGTCAAACATTTTAAAGCCAATTGGAAACTAAGTCTCATTTAAATGAGACAGACCTTTCCAATTAAAGAAAAGAAAAAGTCTTCAAAAGACCTTTCCAAGATCTTCCAGAATGGTGAAACCTTTCTCCAAGTATGCAGCTTTAAAAATCTCTGAAGGTGAAATTACTCCTCCACATTTCCTTGGCCCATCAGGCTCTGTTCAGCTCTGTGTTGCTTGCACTAAAGTCTTGGCTACTTGCAGTCTCTTGTCCCTCAAGTCATCTTCAACTTTAGGAAAAAAAGGTAGGAGGTATATACCTATTTCCTTTCCATTCAGATCATATACAGAGCAACAGTGGTCAATGTCTGGAATACTCTACCTGACTCTGTGGTTTCTTCCCCAAACCCCAAAAACTTTAACTTTAGACTTTCTACTGTTGACCTCACCCCTTTCCTAAGAGTTCTGTAGGGGGCGTGCATAAGCGCACCAACGTGCCTACCGTCCCTGTCCTATTGTTTCTTTTTACTTTTCTTATATGTATCCATGTATTCATAACTATGTTTTTACTTATACCTATTATCTTGTAAGCAATTGACAAACCAAATAAAATAAATAAAAATAAAAATAAAATATACCTTTCTGGATTGAGTCAATGCAAAACCAAATCCTCAGCAGAATAGGAACAAAAAGGAAGGGTCTTTCTAATTGGTGGATTCTGTACGGTATTTATTTGGGACAGCACTCTTAGCAAATTTCCAGAAACAAAACATATGCTTTCTTCCTGTATATAAGTGCATATTGGTTTCTGAAAAGTACACAAAGGTTGTGCCCAATGTATATGCATTTACATGAAATTTTCACTTTCCTCTGTTTAGACATTCTGCATGCACACACGTGCCTTTCCTATGCCTGTTAGTGTCTTGCTACATATTTCCTCCACAGACAAGAAATGATTAAATATTGATGACATCTATGAAAAAATCATAAAACTTTGAACTATATACCATGTTTCTCCAACAATACGGCCTCCCCCAATAGGAAGTCCCAGCATGTTTTATAGGCATGAAATGAAATTAAGCCCCTCCCCCCCAAATTAAGGCCTATATTAAAACATGCGAAATGGGGGGGGAAATGGCGGGTGGGCTTGCTGTTAGGAAGTACTTTTGTTGCACACCCGAATATGGTGCTGCCTGCGTTGACCCTGATACAAAGTGCCCCACCAACGCCGAGGTCAACATCCAAGCCGTCGCCGCCCGCCCAAAGATGCAAGGGGGGGGGAATTAAGTCACCCCCGAAAAGACAGCCTAGCCGTTTTTTCGGGGCTCAAAAAAAAAATAAGACCCGGCCTTATTATATGAGAAACACAGTAGTATATGTAGATAAACATTAATATACCTTTATGTAATATAATCTTCCAAAGTTTCCCCCATCCCAAGATGCTTCATGCTCCACATCCCATCTGTTGGGTCCCAACAGACTTTTTCCTACTTCTACTGAGTATCTCCCAGGCCTTAGGCCTGATTCCCACTGCCCCAAGCAAAACACCCTTTTTCACCACTTACTTTCTGAAGAGCTGTGAGGCCTCCCAGATCACCGGGATGACTTTCTTCATTGCACAGCCACATGGCAATGTTCTGAAAGCGGCCATCGTTTTGTCCCACTGACAAAATGGTGGCAGCATTCCGGTCGCTACTGCACTGCCTAAGGACAAACTGCTTCATTGTGCTGCCTTAACAAGCTCTGCATGATGCTGCAGAAGCATTTAGAAGCCAATGCAGCACTGTGGAGACCTCTCTGAGGCAGCAAAAAGGAGCAGTTTGTCAGGAGGCCACCATTTTGTCCCCGCTAGTTTGTGGGCGGGGACAAAATGGCAGATGCATTTGGGTTGCTGCCGCGTGGGATAAATTGCTTCATTTTGCTATCTTAACCAGCTCTGCACGGTGCTCAAAAGCTTTCTGCAGATTCAGTAGCTTCTGCAGCTCTGTGCAGACCTAAAGTAGCAAAATGAAGCAGTTTGTGTGATGGCCATCATTTTGTTCCCACCCATTTTTGGGTAGGGACAAAATGACGGCTGCATTCGGGTCTCCACAGCACAGCACAGGGACACATGACCTGCTCTTCCTCCATAACATGAGGTCTGGAGAGCTTCAGAAGTTACATGTGGGGCGTCATGGGGGTCATAAGGAGGAGGCCTAGGTCCTGCAGGTTTCCAGTGGGGTGGATGGGGGAGAGAGGCAGGAAGGCACTGCAGCGACCTTATGGTGGGTCATTAGAGCGAACAACCGTAAGCCCACTGCAGCTGTCCTAATTTTGGAATGAGGTCGTAAGTAGCTTGTGTGAGTTGTCACTTGTAATTTCAAACATTCATTACATGGCCTGTTGTACCTTGAGGATTACCTGTATCTAATACTGAAATATTAATATTTATGGATTTTCCAATAGGATGCCTCTTTAGTAGACGCAGCTTTTTTAAAAGGATTAAATAGTGTAGGAACAGGAAATATCCACAGCCATCTAAATGTTTAGATTTCTCTTGAGTCCACTGAAAAAAGTTGGGTTTTTATTTCAGCAAAGAGCTTAAAATCATTTTTAAAGCTTCTATATAAATTACAAAGCTATCAAAATGAATGATTAAATATTTTTAACTCAATGGGGGTGTAGAGGGGAGGCAACATTCCAAAGTTTGCAACAAACACAATTTAAATGGCATGGACACATTATTTACAAGCATAAACTCAAATATAACAATTAGGGTGACAAATAGTCGTAGTACACAATCAGTGTGAACTTAGCATTAATTACTGTTGGATAGATTGAGAAGGTAAAAAACAAAATAAAATCCCAAAGGTGGCAATTGCAAACCATCACTTCTGTAACACTGCCAAGAAAACTGCATAGCTACAGTCACTAAGAAGCATCAGTACTATTAGTTATCCCCAAATACCCCCATCATCACTACCACATTTTACCTGGTAGGGAGCGGAACCTCAGTCATGCCTGGAAGAAGAACAGCTGGTGATAAACGTAAGAAGGCAACAATAGGTTGTTTCAGGAAATCTGCTTCTCCAATTAAAACATTTGCAGCCTCAGCTCCAACAGGAATCTTCTTCATAAAATGAAGGTCTGCCTAATTACAAAGAAAAAAGCTTAATTTTTAAGGCAGAACTGATATTGTGATGCATTTAATAAATACAGATATTATGATGCGTTTCATAAATAAGGTAATGAATGCAGGCAATTTAATAAATACAGGTAATTCACTCTTTCAGCAACTGTTCAATGTTATGACAGCAATGACAAAAAAGATTTATGACCAGTCCTTGAAATTGTGGCTATTACAGCATCTCTGTTGTAACTTGATAGTAATTTGAGTGCTTGGCAACCAGTGTGTATTTACAACAGAAATAGCATCCTAGGGTCATGCAATCACCCTTTGCAATGTCCACAGCTGACATCCAACCAGCAAAGTCAATGAGAAAGTCAGCAGGACTTTGCAAGTGGCAGACCATGACATCCTGCTTAATGATTCATGGTTATTTGCTTAATATCTCCAGTTGGAACTGATGTAAGTCAGCATGGACATATGGCATTTCACTTAACAACTGTTGTACTTAGTGCCAGTCCCCGTTGTGGTCCAGGACTACCTGTATAAATTCCAGAGAACCTCCTTTTAGGGCTGATTTTACTTTTAAAAAATAGACATCATATAGAGATGCTCATATTCAGATGAAATGCTGACATACCATGGCTGCTACTCATGACAGCAATAGTGGCCCACGTTAAAACTCCAGGGAACCCAACTTTTTTCCCATTGGCAGTGACATTATCATAAAAGTCAGTTTGGCCGAAGATGCCAATTCAGAATCAAAGTAATGTCAATAGTTTTAATCTGACTTCGATGGAGTCAGATCTGATTGGCTGTAAGATGCTCTTACAATTAGTGATAAACAATTACATTAACTCACTTTGCACACGTCTGTTGGGGTAGTATCAGGAGTCAATCCATTTCTAACATCTAGTGTGTTAGAAGGAGGATGAAGAGACAGTGAAGTCACTCCTAAATAGAAACAGGAAAAATCTAGATAATTTGCTGAATTACTTATCACATTATACACCATACACTGAGTACATAATTTTGAGAAAAGTACAAACTTTTTGTCAATAAAAACGCATGTAGAATGCTTGATTTCACTTATAATGTCCATCTGTCTATCTTATTTTACTTATGTGAATTGCAAATACAAGAAGAAAACAACTTTCATGAGCCGCGGTGGCGCAGTGTGTGTGGGGGGCACATACACACAAATACACACACATTATACTATGTTCTGCCTGGATTGTGACACCCTGCACTGTGTATAAGTGTGACAACAGACAAACGTTTTGGGATTTCCAATTTTCAAGCATGAATGAAGCTGGATTGAAAGAAAATAAGTATGGTTTTTAAATTGGAGGCCGAAACATCAATAGCTTGCACTATGCCGATGGCGGCATTTTTATAGCTGAACATATAAATGACACGCTACCTCTAGTAATTAAAGTCAAGGAAGATAATAAAAAAGGATCAGGTTGGGACAGTTGATCTTGGATGATGATCTATCTGTATGGTTGCTGACAGTTAACACTGAATTGTCATGACATAATAAATCAATACCACTAACTTCTAGAGGCTTTTGGAAATTTACAATAAAAATGCTTAGATAAAAATGATTAACATACTTAGTATGTCAGAAAACATTGGAAGATGGAGTTTTAGCTGGGCCAGCAGAATTATTCTTATAATCCTACACTTCGGGGAGACTGTTTGACTAAAACCTAGTGAAATACAAGTTAGATCATATGCATCCCTGATGTTCAAATCAGACAATGTCTATGCTCATCTATGATAAACCATAAATTGTTTAGGCTAAATAGTTAAGGTAAAGGCCAACAAATTACACTATGCCTTAATATAATCTGAAGTAGACTATCAATTCAATATAGTTAATTTATTTTGGGATAGCATATTACACAGAGTAGCTTTGGTTGGTTGGTTTCACTAGAGATTATCATTCACTTTATTATGTTTGTCTTCTAAATTGCTGAAGCAATATAGCAAAGGGAAAAAACAAGCTGCATGCAATTACTCATGCCCATACATCAAGTCCATATTCAGAGTCACTCAGAATGGAGATGAGCGGCATATAAATTTCATAAATAAATATAGATTGAGTAAATTTTGTCAAATGTGTTTGTTCTTCATATTCCACTGCTAGTCTGGAGTATGTACAATCCAGAAAGCAAGCAGAGACACTGACAGATTAGGAAGGGATCCTCTGATCACCGGATGTGTACACAAACATTTGTGGTTTGGATTCAGGTGTTGGGTGACTGAATTAGTGATAGTTGTAAATCATAAGTTTTTATATATTCCCAATTATTTCTCAATATTTGGTTTATAATTCCTAATGTAATGAGAAAATTGGACCAGAATAGCCAGGTTACAGAGATCCTTTACCTGTCTTATCTACTGAGTGAGGATCAGACTTTCTCTGGCTACTTTCTCCAAAAGAACGGACAATTGGAAGGATGTTCCTTTTTTTTCCATGCTGATGATGGTGTTTCTTCAAGAGGGTTTCCCAGAATTTTTTACGTATGGATATATCCTGAGAATCCTGGCTATCCAGGATCATTTCTGAAAGAGAAAACCACCTAATTATACAAATGCAATGCAGATTACACAGCAATCAGTGATCCTGAATTAAAATTATATTAATTAGATTGGGTATGGTGGGAGGTTCAGCAGTATAGTCTTTGTTAAGGGAGGAAAGAAAGACTTAATTATATATATTTTTCTATTATACCAGCAATCCTTATAATCCTTTGCACACCTGCTATTAGTTGTATTTTTCAAACTACTCCGCTAACAGAAAAGTCTATTTCACAACACATCAGACTGGATCATTAATACAGAACAAATGAGTATAATTCATAATTTGTCTTCAAATGAGACAAATTTAGATTGTTCCTGACTACCACCTCAATGGAGCCCCACATTTCCATTCCATTGGCAGTTGTTATGCCTCATTTTATGACCTTTTTTGCCACAAGTAAGTGAACTACTGCAATTGTTAAGTGAATCCAATTTCCCCCATTGACTTTGCTTGTCAGAAGTCAGCTGGGAAGATTATAAATGGTAATCACATGATCCCAGGATGCTGCAGCTGTCATAAACATATGCCAGTATCTCTGGATAGTTGCCAAGTGACTTTTGATCACATGACCATGGAGTTGTTGCAACAGTCATAAGTGTGAAAACTGATCATAAGTCACTTTTTTCAGTGCATTGACTCAGGCTCAAGGTTGACTCAGCCTTCCATCCTTCCAAGGTCGATAAAATGAGAACCCAGATTGTTGGGGACAATATGCTGACTCTGTAAACCGCTTAGAGAGGACTGTGAAGCACTGTGAAGCGGAATATAAATCTTAGTGCTATTGCTGTTGCTATTGTAACTTCACAACAAATGATTGTAAGTTCAAGGACTCCCTGTATTATAACTTGGCAGACTTCATCTAAGCCTATTCTTTCTTCAAAAGGTGAAGAAAGAAGGTTTGATTTAGCTATGATACTAGTTAAAGGCACTGGTAAACCTACCCTCTAGAAATTTATCTCATCCAGCCAACTGCAACTTAGGTTCCTTCAGATATTTTGAACTACAATTTTTATCGGGCCTATCCAGAGATATTAATGGTCACATAGTCTGAAATATGAACTCAAAGGCATATATACAGACACTCTGCCCCAAAATAACAGAAAAACTCCTCTATTTTCCCCCCTTAAATTATAACGCTTATTATGAAATGTTTCCTTTTCTTTTTTTATAAATGCCAAATAAAACAACTAAGGAAAGTGCTTATATATTACTGGCCACTCCTTACTTCCCAAAATGGTTTCTAAAAAGTATAATATAAAGACTTTTACACAAGCGTATTTGCAATATCAGTTCATTTCTTGTATCCTTCAAGCTATATAGCAGTGATTGCGAACCTTTTTGTTGTGGTGTGCCGAAAGCGCGCGTGCGCGTGATAGCGTGCACATGCCTGTGTCTGCACACACAATGCAATGTGCCCGGTCCCCCCTGCGCATGTGTGCGCAATACCCTTGCCCCGCCCGTTACCTGCACTGCACGTGCCTCCCACCTGATTTTCGGCCCGTTTGAGGCCATTTTTGCCCTCCTGGAGGTTCAAGGGAGGCCTCTGCAACCCAAAAACAGGCCCATTTTAGCCCTTCCTGTATTTCCGGAAGGCCCGTTTTTTGGCCTCCCGAGGCTGCAGAAGCTTCCCTCGAGCCTCCAGAAGGGCGAAAACAGCCTCAAATGGGCCGAAAATCAGCTGGGAGGCACACACAGGTACAGTGCAGGTAAGTTTGGCTGGGGCTCACGTGCCCACACAAATGGCTCTGCGTGCCACCTGGGGCACGTGTGCCATAGATTCTCAATCACGGCTATATAGTATCTTATTCAAGAACAAGAGTTTCTTCTTTTAATGATCCTGGCATTTATTTCAATGTGAGAAGGGTTCAGTTATCAGATAATGCAATCTTATTGACTTTTGATTTAGAAGTTTATGCTTATTCTTCTCTTAAATTAGATCTCATGCCCTGGGCTTGGGTAGGCAGTGGCAGCAGCATGCTTGAGTAAAAGATGCTAAAATTATGCATTCTATTTCTTTCTGAGGAAAAAAAAACTAATATAGAAACCATACAATCGCCCCAAAGCAACAATCAGAGGAAAATTCTTAACTGCCATATTTAGTTCTCAGAATAGCTATCCATGATGCTCCATTCCATGAGTAGTAGTGGTAGGAGAGAGATTTTAAAAAGACCCAAATCTGTTATGGCTTCCACATTTTTTTTAATCAAACATTTTAAAAATAGTTAAAGGTGGGAAAAAACCAGCAGGCACAATAAACACTCTTTTCCCAACCATTTGTGCTACTTTGGCATCCTATCTTCCCATCCATCCAACCTGCATTAATGCAGATTAATATACTCTAAATCAGGGGTGTCAAACACAAGGCCCACGGGCTGAATCCGGCCCACAATGTGGTCAGATCCGGCCCACGGGGCCATCCTGAAAAATGTGAGGGGCCAGCTTGTGTCGCTTCGGCCAGGTCTACCCAGAGTGAAAAGGAAACATGCCAGCAGTTTGGGGAGTGGTATCAAGATGGCCACCCTCACCCAGTTGGCCACACCCAGTGAGTGGAGTCAATCTGGTCACACCCACCCAGTTAGCCACACCTGCCCAGTCGGCCACACCCACCCAGCCCCCAAAGTCAACCTCAGCCCTGATGCGGCCCTCAATGAAATTGAATTTGACATCCCTGCTCTAAATGTAATGAATCACCAAACTGGGCAAACCAGCTTGATTTTTAAATTAAATAAAACCTTCCCTTAAACTGTTGTCCTGCAGATTGTTGGAAATATAACTCCAAGAATTCCTAGACATCATGTGCAAGGCTCGATATTCCCAATATCATATCCCTAAAACATCTGGAAGGCATCAAATTAAGGAAGACTGCCATATTATTCTGCCTTGAAACAGATTTCCAGAATTTGAGGAAATTTCTGCCTAATCAAAGTTTGCATCTAGGCAGGTTATATCTGGGAAGGATGTTCTCTATATACAGGAGAAGAAGGCACACAGAACAGATTCCTTGACTTTTATTCTCATAAATTGTTAAAAATAGCACCTGCAATGTCTTCAGTGCAGTTTACAGATTTATCCAGAAGGATACTCGCATTGATGATACAGCTCCTCAGTTCAAAGAGACTGTGCAGTGAGAGAGTAGCCACGTATGGCTTACTCCATCGTTCTCCTCCATCTTCCACATCTTCCTCAAATTTCAGCCATCTGGAAGTGAGGCAACCAATACAACCCAAATCAAATACAACAGCAAGAGGTTTCAGGATCAATACATAATATTTATTTTTCCAGATGGCTTGGAAGGCCCAGCTGTAAAACAGAGAAGCCGAGCAAGCTTTTATGCATTCATATTAGTGAATAGTAATGTGGAGTCAGTCAGTGGACATATCCCTCAAAATCTGCCAGGCTCCCTGTCCCACATCAATAAAGGCAATGCAAAACACCAGTTCTATCATTATTTTTATTTACAAAAGGGCCTACAGGTCCCACAGAAATCACAAATGAATACAGAAGTACAAGTAGCTCTCGATTTATGATAATTGAGCCCAACATTTCTGTTGCTAAGTGAAACCTATGAGCTTTGCCCTATATAATGTCCTTTCTTGCTACAGTTGTTATGTGAATCACTGCAGTTAAGTTAGTAACATGGTTGTTAAGTGAATCTGGCTTCCCTATTGGCTTTGCTTGTCAGAAAGACACAAAAAGTGATCATGTGGCCCTGGGACATTGCAACTGTTGTAAATATGTGTCAGTTGCCAAGTGTTTGAATTTTAAACACGTGACCATGGGGATGCTGCAACAGTCATAAATGTGAAAACCGGTTGATCATAAGTCACTTTCTTCAGTGCTGTTGTAACTTTGAACATTCACTGAATGAACTGTTGTAAGTCAAGGACTACCTCTAAAAAATTATTTCCTATCTGTCAGTGACAGATAGAAATTCAAAACAAGACATCTTGCAGCAAGCTGTGTTTACTACCTATTCCAATCTGGAGTACCCACGAGTATGGATGAAATGCTCATTCACAGGGACAAAAGCCACATATATACTCCAGGGAGCTAGACATGTTTTAAAAAGAAGAATTGGTACAGAACAGGAATTAAACAGGCTTGTTTTTTAAGATGGGAGATTAACTCAGAAATATATTTGATAAATAATCCAACTGAGTTCAGTTTTGGATGTTGTATATAGCAGATAAGTAAACCTGACTGCATGGAGAAACACTTTCTGTAACTTTTCTGATGCTGGAGAAATATGCATAATGAACCCTGCTTGAACCCTACAGACTATATTAATATCCCCTAGACTGATTATACAACGTAATTCTGAAATATCACAGAAAATTTTCTAGCTATGTTAAGGTCCCATAAAAGAAAATGCCAGCTAGTAGAGATAGTTCTCAACTTATATCAGTTTATTTAGTGGCCATTCAAAGTTACAACGGCACTGAAAAATGTGACTTATGACCGTTTTCCAGTTACGAACTTTGCAGCATCCCCGTGGCCAGGTGATCAAAATTCAGTTTCTTGACAACTGGTTCATATTTAATGACCCTTGCTGTGTCCCAAGGTCATGTGATCCCCTTTTACGATCTTCTGACAAGCAAAGTCAACAGGGAAGCCAGATTCACTTAACAACTGGATTACAAACTTACCACCTGCACTGATTCACTTGAGAACTGTGGCAAAAAATGGGGCAAAACTCACTTAACAAATGTCTCACTTCATAGAAATTTAGGGCTCAATTGTGCTCTTAGTCAGGAATTACCTGTACTGGGGAACTTTCAGATATAAAACATATCCTTTACCATGATTAAAGAATCTACCTTATACTTGAACTACGGAGACAACAGAACATGGAATAGGAATGGAATACTGTAATGAGTTTTTTTCAATGTTTTGAGTCTTTAAGAGCTTTAACAAGTCGTGGTGGCACAGTGATTTGAATGCAGTACTCTAGGCTACTTCTACTGGCCGCCACTTCTACTGACTGCAATTCGATTCTCACCAGCTCAAGGTTGACTCAGTCTTCCCTTCTTCTGAGTTTGGTAAAATGAGGACCCAGATTGTTGGTGGGGTGTAATATGTTGACTCTGTAAACCGCTTAGAGAGGGCTGTAAAGCACTGTGAAGTGATATATAGATGCTAGTGCTAGTGCTATTTTCCATAGAGTGCTGCCTGACTTAAATTTACCCTGGCAATAACCTTAATAGATTTCTTGCTTTGCCCTCAATCTCAGCATATAAATGCTAAATTTACAAGGAGGCACTATTGTTTAATTCCAATTCCTATTTATTTAAATAATAATTGAAAAATCCCTTTTTACGACCCTGTAATTCCTTAATTCAGGGTAGAGTCAGGGTGTGACTGGATGGTGCTGACTATTTAGTGGCCGGATGCTCTTCCCGACGCCATGTAGAGTTTGGAACATATTTTTTCTTTGTACCCTAGGAGAGAAACATCTGCCGCTACCTAGGACTGAACTCTCAACCTTCTGATTTAAATAATAATAATGACAAAGTCTAAACATTTGGCTGACTGTGCTACCAATCATAGTAATAACAGCAGCTTTAGAAGTAATAAATAGGCAATGCTGTGTAGTAACAGGCGTTAGTATTCCATCTGCCAGAAGAGGGCATCCATTTACAAACAACCAAGCCAATAATAAATGTATTATTTTAAGGTTTCTATCAGCTTCCAAATGTTATTTTCTATTTACTTACTCATATATTTTGAATTATGTTTGGCAGTGCATTAAATGTACTCCTGAATCAAGTTTAGAATTACTTTAAAACCATTTCTGAACTCTATTCAAAGTGGTATTTGGCACACAGTAGTTATCAGTACTATTCCCGCTCCAAACTCGATTGCAGAAAGTATGAGTTCAGCAACAGAGTGGTGGTCAATGCCAGGAATGCACTACCTGACTCTGTGGTTTTTTTTGTAAATTTTATTGGTTTTTAAAAACAAACATAAACAAACAAAACATAAAAACATCAAACTTTCTTCCATAGGTATACAAACAGTGTGCCGGTTGGTTTACAGATTATTTTGTGCATCCATTTCATAGTCTTCAATTACAGTTACATTACATAAAAGCTCATATTATCAATCAAAAATTAAATACCCTAGTATCATTATTAATCAGTCATTTGACTATAGTTTTATTCATTCATATTTTACGAGATAACCATAATTTACTTAGTTTATTTTATAACAATTCATATTATCCTCCCAAATCTATCCTAAAAACATTTTGTAGATATAATAAAAAAGTACATCTTTATATATTTATTATTTTCTAAAAATCTACATATTTCATTACTGTACTTTATTATCTAACCATTGATAGGTTACGTCCTTTAACCCACACTCCTTTAACCTCAAACTATCCACTATAGACCTCACTCCATTCCCAAGAGGTCTATAAGGGGCGTGCATACGTGCACAATTGTGCCTACCGTCTCTGTCCTATTGTCCCCATTTATTTGTACCTATTTCCTGTATTCTTACTCATGTTTACACTTATACCTATTATCTTGTAAGCGATTGACAAATCAAACAAACAAATAAATAAAATAAATACCCAACAGAAATGCACTACTCCAGAAACTGATTTTAATTGAATCCAAAGATAATGAGGTAAGCTTGAATTTTTTTCCCATAGTTGTAAGATGAGCTATTGAATTCACAGAAGCCTCCTGATTTGACATGGCATTATCTCATGCTGAGACAAAACCAGTTGTACACTTCAAAATAACCCACAAATTGGGAAAACTTTTGAACAGATTATCAGATTCAGAGATTTTCGGGTAAAATTAGGGAATCAAGAACACATTCTGCACAGGAGCAGAAGCTGCTTCTAGACCAGAAATCTGATCTGACAAATTCTGTCCAAGTAAAATTGGAACAGACATACTGAAAACTATTGTACCCGTTCCATATTTAAAAGGTGATTTGTTTGTCCCTCATTAACAATCAACAGGCAGGGGAAAAAATAATTCCCTGGTTCTTTTACCTTGCTGTTTCTTTCCACTCTGATTCTTCACCGTCTTTCACGCAGATTTCATCCATTTCTGTGAATAAATCATGGGGGACATGCTCCTCATCCTCTTCCATACCAAGGATAAAGTGAACTCGCTGAGATGGGGTATCTAACAAAGTAGAACGTTGTATTAATAATTCTAATGATGAAGACAAGGGTAATGTATTCTTTGTGGATATGGAAACGCCCAGGGACAGCAGAATCAGGGAAAAAGAATTTAAAAAATATACAGGCAATTCTCAACTTATAAGCATTCATTTAATGACTGTTCAAAATTATAACAGCACTGAAAAAACTGACTTATGGACGATCAATCAGAGTACAGCTGGAAGGGACCTCGGAGGCCCTTCTAGTCCAACCCCTTGCTCATGCAGGAAACCCAATCTCATTTCAGACAGGTGGCTGCCCAGCCTTTTCTTGAAAACCTCCAGTGATGAACACACCTACAACTACTGAAGGCAAGTTGTTCCACTGGTTGTTTGTCCTCGCTGTTAAGAAGTTTCTCCTCGCTGTTAGGAAGTTTCTCCAGGTTGCTTCTCTCTTTGATTAGTTTCCATCCATTGTTTCTTGTCTTGCCTTCTGGTGCTTTGGAGAATAAGTTGACCCCCTCTTCTTTGTGGCAGATCCTCAAACACTGGAATATTGCTATCATGTCACCCCAGTCCTTCTTTTCTCTAAACTGGCCATACTCAATTCCTGCAGTAGTTCTTCAGATTTCACACTTACAACCACTGCAGCATCCCCGTGGTCATGTGATCAAGATTTGGTCCCTTGTCAACTGGCATGTATTTATGATGGGTCAGGTGATCACCATTTGTAACCTTCCCAGCTGGCTTGACAAGCCAAGTCAGTGGGGGAAACCAGATTCACTTTACAGCTGTATGGTTCATTTAACAAGTGCAATTATTCACGTAATATAATTGTGGCAAAAAGATCACAAAATAGAGCACAACTCAACAACTGCCTTGCTTAGCAGTAGAAATGATGGGTTCCATTGTGTCATAAGTTGAGGCACTACCTGTATAGAGAGAGAGAGATCTGACAGACAAAAGGGGTAAATTACAGAAAAGATCTTGCAAAGTCACCAGTTCTCAAAAAAATATCAGTCAAAGATGAGATTCTTTTACTTTGTTGTTTCTGGTGTTTTATTCTTTGGTAAATGAAAGTCATTGTTAGTAATTTTGCTATTAGTGGAAAAGTAAATAGAATCTGCAGGACCAGAAGCTCATTAAAACTACTTACAAAAAAGTAGTCACATTTAAATGAAACTTAACTTCATGGACCCACCCATATAGATTTTTTGGAAACTATATAGAAGTAGATTAATATCGCCACCTCCTGGGATTTGTTTTCAATTCCCTGTGTACTTTACAGCCTTCTGTTTCCTGGAGGTTTCTAATCAAACCAATTCTTAGTTCCAAGCCTAGAAAACATCAGTTAATAATTAACCTCTGAGCATAGACGCCCACATCCTGCACATTACATTATATTGCAATTTTGTTTGTTTTTACTAAGTAAATTCTTAGCAAGTATCTTTCAATTGTGATGTGCCACACTAATCTTTCAGTTCCCTTTTAGATTCCTTATTCTGGCAACATATTATCCGAATGTCTTAGCCGCATTCAGTCTGTTATCTGACTGATATATAAATCTTCATTCCCTGATGGCACTCTATGAGCTGTGATCTAGGTACCAAGACGGAGTGTCTCTTCCTTGCTAAACATTGCATGTAATGTACTTTGCATGTACATTGCAACATTGCATGTAAAGTGTATAGGATTACATCACACATGAATACAGGTGGGATTTCCCATTTCCTTGTTTTTGTGTCGAGTTTTACAACTTAAAAAAAAAATACAGTGGAACCTCGGGTTGCAAACACTCCTGACTAAGGAGAGAAGCAACTTAGAACTAAACAGTAATTTCCTGACAGTTAGAACAATTAATTAATGGAACAACTTGCCTACAGAAGTTGTGAATGCTCCAACACTGGAAGTTTTTAAAAAAGATGTTGGATAGCCATTTATCTGAAATGGTGTAGGGTTTCCTGCCTAAGCAGGGGGTTGGACTAGAAGACCTCCAAGGTCCCTTCCAAATCTGTTAGAGAGAGCAGTTTCATAATGGAGCTGATTGACTGGAGGTTCAGGCTTCTCCGTTGGGGTAGATCTTCAAGAAGAGGGTGAGCTGCCATCAATTGGATATTTTAGTTTCTGAATCAAACTTTGGATTAGAATAATGGCCTGCAAATGCTTTTGTGGTTGTGACTGTAAGGTAATCCTGCTATTTCAGAGACAATAGGTCCCTCTGTCCATCTCCAAATCTTTCAAAGATTAAGGATTTGCTTCAGCACTTGGAGTTACTAAAAGTGCTCAGCCATATTCTGAATGCCTCTCTAAGATCCTAAAGAACTATACATGACAATAATATGGCTCATTCCCCACACTGTGTTCTATTATCAACGCACACTTACCGTAAGTTTCATGCTCCTCCAATATACTTTCCTTTATCCGATCTCGTTTTCTGTGTTTGGGGCCGTGGGGTCTGTGATGTCTGTGGCCTTGTCTAACCAAAGGCATCCGTACCCCAACATATAATGTCCTGTGCCCTGGAACAAAAGCAGATTGTCAGGTATTTATGGCTTTGATTTTGTTGAAATTACATCAGTCCATTTAACTGCAACTGCTCTTTATAACCATCAGAAATACAGAAAGTCATCGTCCTAATTAAAGCCATACTTCATCATTATGTTGATGAAGACCTTGGAACAATATATACAGGTAGTACTTGGCTTACGACAAAATTTATTTTGCTAAGTGAGACATTTATTGAGTTTTGCCCCATTTTACGACTTTTCTTGTCATAGTTGTTAAGTAAGTTCTTAAGTTAGTAACGTGCTAAGTGATTCTGGCTTCCCCATTGACTTTCCTTGTCAAAAGGTTGCAAAGGTGATTATACAACCCCAGGACACTGCAACCGTCATAAATATGAACCAGTTGCCAAGCATCTTAATTTTGATCACGTGACTATGGGAATGCCATAACAGTCATAAGTGTGAAAAATGGTCATAAATTATTTTTCTCTATGCCATTGTATCTTTGAATGGTCACTAAATGAACTGTTGTAACTCAAGGTCTACATATACATAAATTGTCATTTAGCAACCACAATTGGGATTGGTAGCTGAGCTGTTAAGTGAAGCAGTTTTTAAGTGAAGCAAGCTCATGAATTTGCTTTCCTTTGCTCTACAGACACAGGAATCCTTGGGACCTGCCCAGAATTGGTTAGAAGATGGGAAGCTATATAACTTCTTTAAATAAATAAATAAAATAAAATGCAAGAATTAGTTGTTAAAATTTTTTTATCACTGTCATAACTGCAAATAGTCACTAAACAAGACATTCATAAAACAAGGACTATGTATATTTTAAGCTGTCATTACACTCCAGACAAACTACGCCAGTTCTTATAGGTACCACTATATACCACTGTCATTCATAAGACTTGTTACAACACAACAGCTGCTCATAATTTCTGGTCCTTCTTAAGTAGTACAGCTAATGAAATACTTAGGCATGATTTCCTTAAAGCAAAATGTATCATCTAAATATGAGGTGGAGGATGTTCCCTCTAGAATGAACTGAGGAACCAAAGCATTAACAGAATGTGATTTTAACTTCTAATTTGGGGTGGGGTGGGGGGATGCAGTCAGAAGCAGCCTTGATTCAGAATGAACAACAATGAAGTTTGCTAATTACATTAAGAGAACAAGTATGCCTTTATTGATTTGTTTGTTTGCTTGCTTGCTTTCCTTTAAAAGAAACCCGTAATTTACACCTAAAAATTACCAAAAAAAAGAATTTTAAAAGGATAAAATAAGTGATAAAAATATATGTTAAAACTGTAAAATTAGTGCCAAAGCAATTAAAACCCATAATAACATTATCTTATTCTTAAAAGCCTGGTAAATAAAAATGATTTTGCAAGAGACAACAAAAGCAATAAAAATGGTGAAGACTGAAAACACTGGTCCTCAGCTACTTGTCACGTCTCACCATCCAGAAAACAGGCTTTCTATAGATGTCCTGGTATGATGAATTTGCTTCACAGTTCAAATCTTGCTGCAGTATTTTGTAGTACAATTGACATTTCTTAATCATCATCAAGAGCAGCCCCAGGTATAGTGCATTACAGTAATCTAAACAAAACGTTTCCAAGGGAGAGTAGAGCCTGAGCTAATGGAAGGTATTTCATATATTAAAAGAAAAAAGGAAAACACTTAGGCCCCTAATGTCAAAGATGAGTTACAAGTGCTCCAAGCTATTAATTTGACCTCTATTGAAATGCATAGAAATCACATAGACCAATATGATCATGTATTAATTCATACAGACCTAAACTGCTGAAACTGTGGCTGATTTTACCATAGCTGACCTAGTTTGTCTTCAAAGCGTCTTGCCAATAAGTCACACAGAAAGCTACCAAAGTTTCTGTATGATCTCTAACTGGACTGGATAGCACCACAATTACCTGAAAAGACTTCCAATGATTGGCAGTGAGAGGATAAATGGTAGAAGGGAATAACTAAGTCAGTATATCAAGCTTGTTGATTTCTGAATCTGAAAGAGCCAGCCAAAGCCTTGCAATCAAAACTAGCTCTAAAAGAGTGATATCCAAGAATTATCATGTGGGCAGTACTTTAATAAATTCTATGAATTATAGTACCCATGTAGCACAAATCCATTTTTAGATAACTATTGCCAGGAACTGCTCATCTGAGAACATAATCTGTTTGTTGCATCTTTTTCTCATTTGCCTTTCTCTATATTTTGTTCATACCACCTGATATTCTCCATTGACAGAAAAATTGTATGTAAGCATTCTCTCTCTATCTCTAAGAATCTCTGCTCAGGCATGAGTTTAGCCAGGATGGTTATGCTACCAAGAGTTTCATGTTTGCTCCTGCTGAGAATTCCCTGATGTTAATGATATAAACATGTAGCAGGCACAGGGGGAATCATACTAATATAGGAAATGAGAGAGCAGGAGTCTCTTTTGTAATTGAATGTCCACTGCTCAAGGGGAAAGAAAATTTCTTGTAAAAAGGCCTACACACTCAGGAGAATTGGTCTGGAAGAAAAGACAATGGAAGCTATGCTTGGTGCATACTGATTAAAAAATTCAGTTATCTGCATAGATTAGGATCAGCATTCATAAGCAGCAAAGGAGACCACAAGTTTCTGAACAACTCTGTTTAGAGATCTATTTTCACCTGCATTGTAAATCACCAAGTGAAACACAGTTGTTTTAACTGTTTAACACATAATAAGCTCTTGGATATTTGACAATTCCCTTGTTTTTGCCGTTTGAGGTAGCTAGCAAAAAAAATGTAGAGCTCTGTTTTCTGGTTATGTTAGCATCTTTGAATTATAATTTTCAACTATTGTTATTTTTCTCAACTGCTATATAGATCTAATCTTCTAGTTTGAATTGTGATTGCAATTTAGTTTGAATTGACTTTTTACCACCCAAACTCGCTTGCTTGCGATGGGCTGCCATACAAAACAAATAAATCTGTAAATCAGTAACCAGATTTTTTTTGCAGTTAGCAAAAAAAAAAAAAAAAAGGTTGTAAAATGGGGCAGAACTCACTTAATAACTGCCTAGCTTAGCAACAGAAATTTTGGGTTCAATTGTGGTCATACGTTGAGGACTACCTATAGTAGGGCTTCCTTTCATGTATAGTAGTCTGGGACAAGGTGGCTCCAAGACAATATACAGATTGTTCATTTTTGCTGTCTTTTGTTCTACCAAGCTGTTAGTTTGTTCCAGTACAATTCCATATCTCATCCATCCGGAGTTTAACTTTCTAGCAACATAAAAAAAAGCAGTGTATGCAAATCTACTTGGAAGCCATATACCCTTCTGACTTTGTAAAACCTATCTCGCAGAATTTATGCTGTACATTTTTAGGGATGAAGAAAGTTCACTCAGTTCATGGATTTGGGCTCTCTTTCCTTCATTATTATCCCACTGCCTGAACCCTAGCAATGAAAAGACATGCCTGAATTCACAAGAGAGGAAAGGTTTTGTGACATTTTGTGGCTCTGCTCTTTATTACTAATTTAAACACATTATGCCAGGCAGGATCCACAACAAGTATAAAGAGAATAAAGTATACGCTACAGAATTAATTATTTATTTCTCCTTTGTACTGACTCTCAAGAGTGATGCTTCTTTTGGCAAAAAAGGAATTATTTACTGGAATTGACAACCTGCTTGCTTTTGAGGATGTGATAAAGACTTGAAGCGAGCAATATACATAAGTCATTATCTTAAGTATAAGTTACAAATTTAAATTAAAACACTGACAAGCATGTTCTTATGGAAGGTACTGAAATTAGTAAGTCTACCATGCTACCACTCTGAATCCTGTAACAAGAATGTTTTATTAAATAGAGGTATTTTTCTCAATCAGATTCAACCCCCATAGGAGGGAATATAACCAGCCTTCTGATCAAATCATCACTGGTATGCAAGAATCTCATCTACAGATTTCAAAAGTAACAGCTACTCGCGGCCCGCAGACCAGATGCATCACATGTTGGCCACACCAATGCCCAGCTAAGTGAAGGGGGGGAAGTTGCGATATGTCACGTGACGACGCCATGACAACACAAATTTGACACCCCTGAGCTACAGACTAAAAACAGCAACGTGTGAGTTAGAGAACATCTTTAAAATTGATGTATTTCTATCTGCCCCCAACTTTTCTTTGTACGCTTTTAGTGGCATTCAGTCCACTTCACTGACCTTTATAAAATGTATAGAGTCAGAAGACTCTCTTCTATTGTATTGATTCAGTTATCTATTTGATTCAACAGTATGACTCAGTTTAAGTCTGATTTGTTTCAGTGACTCTTCCACTGCATACTTTCTGTGCATTTTTCCTAAATCACCAGAAAACATACTTCTGCTGCTGTATGCTATTAATAGAACAGTAGCTGCTATATACTTAAAAATGCAGTTTTCCCCAATAAAGTTTTGAATAAACTACATATTAACTCCAGTTTTGGATCATACTAGAAATTGCTGATATTACCACTTGCAGCTTCTGAGTAGATTTCAAGGGCAATCCATATAAAGCAAAGAACGGTATTCTATACCTGAGGTAACCAAGGCAAGAGTGACCATGAGAAGGGCCCTCCCTATCCACGTACAGGTGCAATTAGGAATCTGTACAAAGGCCTTGGTGGCTACAGATGTAATCTACTCTTTAAGAGGATCCTGGAAGTCTCCCAAACTTGAGTATCTGTTGCATCTGGGAGAGTGAACCCCATTCTGAACTAGAGATAAAAAGCCCCATCTGAGTTGTCTAGTTAGTACACAAAGCCAGTCAATCCTGCTCGGATTGAGTCTCAGTTTGTTTCTCCCCAACTGGGACCACCACCCAGCCATTGGGTGGTGGATCTTAACAACATCACTCAATTGACTAGGGATCCACATACACAGCTGAATCATCAACATATTGATGAGAACCGATCCTGTTCTCCAATGAATGACCTCAGCAGCTATTATATATTTTTATAATATGCAGATACAATGTTTGGCAGATAATGGTTTTTTTGGTATGAAAAAAAAACACATCTACCATGAATTTCTTCTTGCCTCAAGGCCCTTATAACTGTGCTGCATGACATAAATAAGGAATTACCATTTTAAAAATGAAACAAACCAACATTCCAAAAGTAGATTTTGGTAATAATTTTGATGGGTTTTCTTTATTTTAAACAAATATAGAATGTTTTTGGTTGTGTGATACGTCAAATACTTTTCATTATATGCAGATAGTTTCAACTTGAAAACACATTTAGTTTCATTCTCAAATATTTAATAATTCTTCACGATGTAACAGAAAAATAGAGGAAGAGATAAAAACACTAGAAAATAATTGTTTTACCTTCCAACTCCTCTGGTTCATAATGAATGTTAACAACATTGCTGGTGCCTCCCAAATCAACAACCGCCTCATCCTCGGGCCTCTATTGGAAAGATAAACATGGTATATCACATAAATGTATCACTATGGATTCCCCACAAACCAGAGGTGGTATTCAGCAGGTTCTGACCAGTTCTGGAGAACCGGTAGCAGAAATTTTGAGTAGTTCGGACAACCGGCAAATACCACCTCTGCCTGGAGTTTTTAAAGTATCCTTCCCCTGCCGCACCCACTAAGCCACACCCACAGAACCGGTAGTAAAAAAAATTGAATCCCACCACTGCCCCAAACACACACATACTGAGGGAGGGAGGGGGAATGGGGGAGAGAAAGAAAGAAAGAAAGAAAGAGAGAGAGAGAGAGAGAGAGAGAGAGAGAGCGCACTTTGTCTGCTGTTAAATACTCCTTTATGTAGCTAGGCTATTGTACCTCACAGTATAATGGACTTACTCTGGCATGGATAGACTTCAGAATCTTGTACAACAGAGAGACTGGACAGCATGTTTTGACAATTCTTTATGAAGACATGAATTGTGCAAGATATTTCTTACAGCCTAACTTCTATTACAAATTTTTCTTTCATTGTTTTATATTGTTTTATATTGTTTATATTGTTGAGAATCCAATTAATAACGTAAAACTTGCATCGTCATGGTATCATCACGTGACATATCACGACTTTCCCCCCCCCCCCCCCTTTATTTTGTTTCTGGGATGGCAAAAAATATTTGAAACAAAGATGGCATGAATTGGAAGATGGTGATGAAGACGAAGAGCTGGCTGGATTGTGGGAGAAAGTCTACAGTATATTTTGTAGGGATTGAAAATGGCAGAAGAGAAGAAGTTTTACCAGCCAGAAAGAAAACCAACTGTCAGCTTGATTGACAAAGAGTAACTGTTAGCCAATATCTTTAAGCAATCCCATACATCTGGTTAAAAGTATTTAAAAACATAAAAGAATACCCATAACAAAGCTAGAAATATATTTGTTTGTCTTCACCTTTATTATTTTTATAAATAACTCGGTAGTGAACATACCAAATACATTTTCCCTCCTCCTATTTTCCTCAAAACAACGCACTATGAGGTGACGTGGTCTGAAAGTGAGCGGCTGGCCCAGCTGGCTTTCATGCCTAAATTGGGACAAGAACTCACAGTCTCCTGGTTTCTAGTCTGGTGCCTTAATCACTAGACCAAACTGGCTCAGATCTTGCAGTTTGCATCTATATTTTTCAAACATCTATATTTAGAGAAATGTTTAGATCCCTATTTAGTAAAAGGGGAAAAATACCCCCAAGTATACCACTTAGGTAGTATTTTCTGCTTATCTGTAAAAACAGAGAAGAAAATATGGGGGAGCCATTGTTAACCTTACATAACCTTGCTGAGGAATGCACTTAGATGGTGGTCTTTTAGAGGAAAAAGTCTAAAGTGGTATTTTGCACTGTTTTCTATCAGATCCTGAGAACCTGTAGGAAGCTCCAGTCACTTGTTTAAATGTTGTTTCTGCTATTTCATCAAGGCACAACTGACTGAAATACCATGAAAGCTGAGATTCTGAAAATACATGCAGGAATTTTCATTGCCAAACTTTTTTAAAAAATCCATGAGACTTTAGCAATGAGGAATCCTATTTTTTCCTGGCAAACAAATGGGAAATGACAACACACAAATGATTCTCTTGGTTTAAAGTAGTAACCCACTGTTACTTTTGCCTCATTGTATTTATTAAAATTTTAATAGTCCTTCAAAGGGAAAGAAAAACCACTCAATAAAAGCAGTCATGCAGCCTCTTTTTATTTCTTTCCTCAACCTAGAGACATAAATTATGCATGTCAATCTCATATAGCTCTGCTGAAAGCAGATATTCCTCAAGGAAAACCAAAACATTTTCTCATCAATGGGCCATAACAAGATGAAGCCAAATTCCAATATAAAACAACAAAATGCAATTCTGTCTCTATCCAGATTATTCCATAAATAGAACCTCAGTTGGGTTCTTAAATTTCAGTTTCATATCAGCAACTGAATGGTCATCAGCCAAGTTTAAATGTATAGAGCTTTTTTTTAATGTTCCCCTCTAAATACCTGTAGTTCCTCCATCAACACTGGAGATGATCTGAGCAATAATGCAAAATCAGGATTTAGGATTTGTTTAATCTGATTGGGTTTAAATGCTCCTGCAAACCATCTTTTAAGCAGCAAGTGCTGCTTTAGGTTTAGGCCAAAAGCACCATGATTTATTTTAACCACAACTTCAAATATCCTGAATCTGAAATCCTGTCTTATTACAGATCTGGTTTGATGCAATGCCTCCTCCCCACTCAACAAAAGCAACATAAAGGCTTGACTCAAAAAGGACACCTTTAAAAGTAAATTAATTTACAGCATCCATTATTTTCTTTTGATAATCATCCTTCTTAGAAGACCAGCATAGCTATGAGGTTGCACTTCTAGTTTGCCCTTATTTCATAGTTCATAACTCTAATATTTTCCATTTTTCCTATCATCCAATTAATCAATGTTCCTGCCTTGCCTTCATTGTTACCTGCTTGTTTACTCAAGCCAATGTTCCAGTAGGTCCTTTCCCTATAGCTCAGACAAGTAGCAATAATAAGTAGACAGGGTAGCATTATGCATGAATAATTAGCTGCAGAACCATTTTATCTGATACTATTTTCCTTCTAGGCATTAGACATTTCATTTATTTTAATTTACCTATAGCCATTAAGTCAGTTTCTAAAACACATATTAGTTTGGAAATATTTTTAATGCCACTGGCAACTTACAATGTTTAAATTGCTACTCTCTCTGCTCATCTCATATTAATGAAAATTATATTTTGTTTTATAATTTTCATTTGTAAGTAATACTTTTTTAATTAATTCTTACTCAGGTGGCCATGACTATTAATTTATAAAGAAGAATTTTGTTCCTGGAGTTGGGGGAGGGGAGCGGAGAGGAGATCTGAGATCTGAAGCTGTCCTCTGCGTGGAAGATAGTTTGGTCCAAGAATAATCTGAAGGGGGAAAAATTCCTTAAACAGGAATCTAGGACACAAGCCTATCATCACATTTCAATGACACTGTCCCTTTGCTCAGTATTATTTTTTGAAACATAGAAATTGTTTTCAATTTTATATGTAAACAGATAAATTGTCATATCAGTATGCTATACAAATGGATACCTTGTGTATTTTTTAAATAATATTTTTCTTACCTGATACTCTACTTCCCATTTTTATAAGTTGCACTAGGATTGCAAAACAAAATGATAGAAATCTACTTGGATTTGCAAGAGCCACTTTGGTGTAGTGATTAAGGCACTAAGCTACAAACAAGGAAATTGTGAATTCTAGTTCCATTTTAGGCACAAAGCCAACTGGGTGACTTTGGACCAGTTATTCTGTCTCTCCCCTAGGAAACATGTACAGAAATGACAAACGCTTCTGAATATGTTGCCTAGAAAACTGCAGGGACTTGTCCAGGCAGTTACCAAGACACCAAAATACCTATAAAATGCTTATGATGCTTCCACACTAAAGATTCCCTGTGAGACTAATAAAAGAATATCATGGAGCTATCCCTTCATCTTTTCAAAGACATACTAGCAGTAACTGGATTCACTTTTAAATGTTTTTAGAAGATACAAATATTGCACACACAGAGAGAGAGTTGATTCTCATTATTTGTGATAATTATGTGCTATTAAATTTGTTGCAAATACTGAATTAGCGAATACTGAACCATTGCTCCTAGGGGAAATAGAGGATAGTTGTTTACAGAATGAAAGCTGAAATAAGGCAGCAGAGCATTGCCTTACAGAATTTAGAATGTAGAATAACAATTGGGAGGGACCTTGGAGGTCTACTAGTCTAACCCTTTGCTCAAGCAAGAGACCCTAAACCATTCCAGACAAATTCTCTTCTTGAAAACCTCCAATGATGAAACACCCACAATTTCTGGAGGCAAGCTGTTCCACTGACTGTTAATTCTTAATAGCTTAGAGATCTCTTTAATATTGTTTAACCCATTACTCCTTGTCCTGCCTTCAGGTCCTTTGGAGATCAGCTGAACTCCCTCTTCCTTGAGAGCACAGTTCAGCCTGAGTTGGGAATCTGTCTGTCAGGTTAATTCATTTTTTGGCTGCTCTGTGCATGTCTGTGAATGATTAAAAGGCTCATGAGTATCGATGTAGGAAATATAAATACATTTTTAGCAAGTAAGCAGTTTGCAAATACAAAATTGTGACTAAATGAGAACTAACTGTATACATTATGTAAAAAGGTTAAGAAGAAAGTAGTGAAGTAAGAAGAGAAATGGAATTGAAAAAACAAGCAGAAGTCAGCAAGAACTAAAATAAAAGGATGGAGAAAAAAACTGATGCATCATTGGAGAGAGATCTAATTGTGATGAGAGATCCAGGTTTGAGTCTACCCTCAACCATGATATTGCAATAAAATGAAGAGAGACCCCCAGATATTTCACTTTAAGTTATCAAAGGAAAGGCAGATTATAAATCTAACATATACGGTAATTCAGAAACAAAACAGATAGAAGGTAAAGAATGAAGTGATAAATCTAGGGGGTTTTTTTCTCCAAGAATAAATGTGCTTGTTTTTATGAGCCTACTTCCTTATTCATTTCCTCTTGGATTGAAAATCCCTCAAATCATGAGTGACACTTAAATAGTTATCTGTTTAAATAACTTGTTAATGTAACATGTACAGGTACCAGGTTTACACTGCTTATTACAACCAAATCTAAGAGCAACTAAGATCAAGAAACCTTATTCTGGAGCTGTAAGAAACCTGTCAAATCCAAAATTTTAAACATGTTAAAAAGAAAAAGAATTAGAAATACATCATTGGGATCACATCTGCCATTCAACACTGCACAATTCATGCAAGTATCAGTCTGAAGGAATTATTAATACCAGAAACACCATAGTGATAAATTATTTAAGGCAATATTCCTGGATGCTAAATCCATCTTTAGTATTCCAAATACAACAGCTTCTAATCA